TTTTTTTTTTTGCGAAAAGGCAGTTTGAGTTGGGACTGAAAAGGTTAATTTGAATGTTCTTAAGGTTTTGAATATTTTACAGATGTACTCCTCTAACACCTATGACGCCATGCGCGGGCTTTCTTACTCCTGGCACAAGTAATACGTTTCTTCCTCAGCAAGTTTTTCCAACTTCTTCCAAAGGTAGCCTGAAGTCAAAGTTTTTCAGTTGGGCGGAACGAAGGTAGCTTTTTCATTGAATAATTCTTCTTTATACTTCTGTTTACTATAGTTTTGCTTCGTAAGCCTTGTAGTAATAGTGCATGATAATGTTTCAGAGAAGCATTGTTCAAGGAGAGTCTTGGTCGTTTGAAGAAAGATATAATTAGAGCCAATGCTCTTGTCCGCGAGGCCAACATGATCGCCACAGAGCTTTCTCACTGTCGGCGGAAAGTTACTTACGATGTTACTCTACAAATCCCAGCTGCGAATTTAAAGCCGTCGAAAATTAAGGTAAGATAAAATTATTCTGGTTTCTGTAATAATGCTTGAATTCATAAAATTAAATATGAGCTACATTTGGATACTAATAGTTCTATCACTTCAATGATTGGTTTCAGGCTGGTGAGTTTATATGTGAACCTGTGATCGTCGTAAAGCGAGCAGGGATCTTTGGACACCAATTATGGTCAGTTTCGCAGTTGGAAAGTAAATTAGTTGATATGAGGGAGATGTACGACGACAAAATCAACGGGTAACATTAATTGCATTATATCGTTCTCTAGAGAGAACATTTAGTTGAAAAATGCCTACTTATTTAGTAGAGGAAAAGAAGTAAACTAATCTGTATTGATGGCAAATAATTTTTATTACATTAAGGAGAGACCGGGAGTATTATTCTCCGGATTGCGAGTTGAGTCCTGTTAGAGAGCCGCCTGATAATTGTGCGACTACGAGTATGGCTATGGATGATTATGTTGAGAGTCAGGTTAGAAGTTGAGTGTTTTAGAAACAGTAAGATAACATTTTCTGCGGTTTCTTGTTCGTTTCGTAAAGAACCTTTCTAAATGAAATTTATTCTTTTTCAGGAAAATCACAGTTTGATAGGAGTTGCAAATGTCTTTCTGGAGGTGCTTCTTCACGACTTACGCCTGGATTATCATGTTCCAATAATTAACCAACAGGTTTAAATTTCTTTTCCAGTTAATCTGAGTATCTACCAACGTAAATAATTACGATAGGCTTTTGGATTTATAAGCATTAGAGATTTGTATTAATCGTTTAGGGAGAAGTAAGTGGGCGTCTTCATGTGGAAGTTTTTCGTTGTTTTGATTCTGAAGACGATTTATCATATCAAAGTTCTGAGTCGCTGGAAAGCGAAAGAGATGGTTATGCCATTGGAAATGGCTTATTAGGAAGGGCCATAAGATGCAAAGTAGCCTTTTTCTATCAAATATGTTTGGCTGACGATAAGTGGCCATTTATTCCCATCACAAAAATTCAAAGTACTAAGATGGAACACAACACTTGTTTCAGATCCGCATTAAAAAAGCTACCAATTTACCGCTCTCATTATCCCATTTCGTTTTTTGTCAGTATTCGTTTTTCAACTGTAATGAAATATTTGTTGTTCCTCCTCGAATCACTTCGGACTCATCTGAAGAGGACCTATCGAGTACCAACAATTCGGACTTTTACTTTGATCACGAGAAAGTATGTTTTCGTCATCTGTATTTCCACCCTCATGGTTATATAACAAAAGATGAATTCCCAATTCCCTTTTGCGTTATTTTAGGATTTTGTGGTGACAGTGAATGAAGAATTCTTAGAATACGTCCAAGAAGATGCATTGTCTATTGAGGTATGGGGTCATCGGAGTAGCGGCTTTGGTAATGACACGGTTCTGTCAACGTCGTGTATACCACTCGATGTAGAACAGACTTATAAAAGTTTGCAGGTCTAGCTTTTAAAGATAATTCTTGGAGATGAATTTGAAGTTGTTAGACAGGGAATTGGTATTATTCCGCTATACTTCTGAATAACATTGGGTTGGAAAACTTGAGAGTTTTTACATTTGAGACTTTAGGAAAGGTGGACAGATGTAACTCGAAGGATAGAATTTCAAATTAGCATAATGGAGCTTAATGATGATGGCTATTATGTCCCTGTAGAAGTTCATTCATCCAACTATGTTGCTACCGGTGGTGTGTATCAACTGAAACAGGTTTTTCATTGGTTTTTTTGAACCTATATTTAGATTAATAATTAAAGTTACTAAAATAAACACTCTTTAGGGCCAGCAGCGCCGTATTGTAGTCACTGTTCGACCTTCAATGGAGCGTGGTAATTTACCTCTTGCAGTTTCTGAGATACAAACAGTTACGGTCGGTGATGTATGTTCCAGGTTTGTTCCAGAAGTTTTATTGCTTGCTTTCTGAGAACAGTAGTAGATTTTATAAATGCTTTTCTTGAGGCGTCCCTATTCTGCTGACCACTTTTTAAGAAACCAAACAACTGAGAAGCCTCTGGACAGTTACCAAGAAGAAGATTTAGATCGCATTCGAGAGCAGTGGACAGAAGCTCTTGCATATCGTCAACGCTACCTTGAAAATCAGATCAATGCTGTATTACTTTTCTAGATTGTTTTTTTATTTCTTGAACCGCTGTAACTGCCACTGGATTTAGTTTTATTTTTCAGAGTGCATGCACGATTTTAGTTAGTTTTATCCATTCATTTAGTTGACACTGAAAGGGGCTGCAAAGTCGGAGAAGGAGGCCGAACGAGAAAAATCATTGATTGACCAGTGGGTTGCTTTGACTGAAGAGAGGAATGCAGTCAGTGTTCCTGCTACCAACAGTGGCATACCTGGAGCTCCTTCAGACTGGTTTCTTTTTTTTTTTGCATTAAACTTTGACCTTTCCCTCAATCGTAAATTTGCTTCCTTTTAAACAAATGAATTTTTAGGGACCCACCACCGGGTGTTGAGCGACATGTCCCAGTTATATTCTTAAACATTAATGGTTAGCACTAGCATAATTTTTTGCTGCAAAACTCGTTGGTCTTTAAATTGCTCCAATTTTTTTTAATATCGTGGTTCTCTTGTTAGTTGATCATGCCTTCTACCAAAATGTGGTGCCATTCATTCAATTTCTAATCAAGAGTTGGACAGTAAGGTTGAAAAAGATGAAAAAAAAAACAAATCAATGTGTAATTCAGGTTCGAACTTAATGACGTCTTTTTTTATTAGAGAGGGAATAATCAATTCAGAGAAGAATCATAAAGCATGCATGAAACACTGCTAACTTGACTGTGGACCCGTGAAAAATTCTCAAAATTGAGTGTTCTAGGAATTTGAGGGAACTTTAGTCTTAATACCCATTTTAGTACCCTAATTTCTTTATCCCCCAAAGTCCTCAAACTCAGAAATAATCTCTCCTCTCATAAAAAGTAAAACCTAGGGTTTCAAATTTCAGCAGAAGATATGACTGAAGAGACTTTTCAAGCTGAAGAGAGCGTTTCTTTGGCTGGATTTGACGCAGTTCTCACAGAAGAGCGTGGCTGCGACATTCCAGTTCCAATCTTAGAGCGCGAGAGTGGAGACTTTGATAGCGTACGATGCATTTTTAGTCCTTAATTTTTACATACATAGTGACCTTTTTTCGACTTGACAACGAATTTAGGTGTCAGCAACTTGTTCTTGGGACAGTTCAATTCACGAACACACCGGTCTCAACCGGAATAGTGGTCACAACGAAGTTATTTATGCTGTAGTCAAAGTAAGTTGCAGCCCGATAGCTTTTCTATCTAGATGGCGCCATTCTCGCTCAAAGGTTTTGGTATCTGCAGGCGGTTGTGCGACTAGCCTATCCGTGTGTTATTGACGTCGTTCTTAGGAAACGAATTTGTATGCATCTATACAAGAAGGCGTCATTGACCGAGAAAATAATGAAAAAATTTGTTGGATCGGTAATTTTTTGTCTCTTTTTAGCAAAATATCATTCATTTGAAAAAGACTAGTGGAGGTTAGGCCATAATCATGCAATTAAAGTTTGATTTTTTTTTTCTTACTGTCGTTATTTTCAGACCCCAATTGCTGCAACAGGTGTTTTCTACGACTTAGTAGCGCATGTCCCAAAGGTGGTTTACTTTCTAGAAATTAAACGTTTCAATTATTAATAAGTGTAGTCCATATTTTGTTTGCAACGACTTTATTGCAGTCATCATTAGACGTTGAAGATCGTACAACACTGGCAATGGTGGCTGCTGGCCAAACCCAAAGTGTCGATGAAGATTTTTCTGAATCCAACGAGACAGACAAGTAGATGTTTAGTTGTTACGGATAATGCATGCAGTTGTTTCAAAGAGGCTGTTTTTGAGTGACTTTTTAACACATAGTTTAGGTTCAGCAAATTAAATTATATAGAAGCGTATACAAAAAGTATTCAAGCGGTGGAAAGCATGCTGAAGCTGGATCGACTTCGGCAAGAAGTAGCAATCAATGGCATGCTATTAAAGTACATTTCCTTCCTATGTACAGATTTCATATTTTCGCTGTACCAAATGTAGGGTAAAGGTCCATAACTTTGGCAGCAGTGCAGGATCTAAGGATTTTTGTTAGACAATGAATGAACTTTCACTACAATTTTACGCACTTTAGGCAAGAGCGGATGAATCGGATAAACTATTCTGAAGTTCGTGGTTCAAGAATGAAACGGGCCGTAAGCCTCCCGGACACGTCACTCGCTGTAAAAACTTTTTTTCTGAATTAATTAGTTGTATTTATGAGTATCTGTAAAAATACGTATGGATCTGGATTCTTTGTAGACTGCAATGAACAGCAGTGCTGTTCGAGGAAAATTTGACGGGGCTGCAGAGACGGTAGACAAGCGTCGATCTGCCGGCACCTCTTCGTCTTCCTCAAATCCAGGCAATTTTTTTGATTGAAAATATTCTGTTCTTTTAAAGTTTTGGTTCAATGACAAAGACTAACGTTAAAGTAACTAACTTTGAGCTAGCTCGACTTCCGCTTCTATTGTTTTTTAGCTTTATTGGTCTTTCCGCTCCCTCATGTTAAGTTCTTGGCTTTTGTAAGTGGAATTTATCACTGAAAATAGTGCTGCTATTTCGTTACCTAAACTTTATTTTTAGTAACATTTTTCATTTTGCTTCAAAAAAAATTATTAGTAAGGAGGCTTCACAGCTAAAAATTTGACTGATTTTGAAGTTTCGAGTCGAAATTCTATTTCTTTTCTCGATACTTCTCTTGAGATATTCATTGATAGAAAAATTTTGAAGTGATTTACGGATTGCAAATAGAAATGATTGGAATTGGTAGTTTCTGCCTTAATAATATTTGCCTTATAGTAGGCCAGGCGGTAAAAGTTTAGAAGAATAAATTTTAATTCCACTGCTGTTGATATGCGAGGTAGCCAGTGTTTGGCGCAAAAATTTAGCGGAAAGTTAGTGGAACATTTGATGTTTTCAATTCTTTTTTTTTTCAGCTCGCCCTACTTTTCTTAATTTGAAGCCGGTTTATGCCGCCAAATGTATGCGTGAGACATTCTTTGCACGGAATCAGTTTTCTATGTTTGTGTACTAGACCAGAGTAGCTTTTTCTCTATAAATATAGAAGCTGTATCAACGCCTCAGTGATGTAGATCTTTCCCTGCGTTTTGTTCCCTTGCTTGTTGGATTTACAAGAGACTGAGCAACTCGCTGATATTGACAGAACTGCAGTAGTTTTTGTAGGAGCACAGCTAATTAACTCACTGACTGATAATTTTGAATGAAATTTAATAGTTGTTTAACTCCTTTCAATAGTTGGGATCCCAGCCATTTAGCATGTTTGTTCTTTGTTTTTGCATGATTCTCAGTAAAACCTTACTCACTGTGTGTACGCTGGATATTGCGCATATAACGATCTTCCAGTGCTGAATTCATTTTTAAATTTTAGTGCCTTCTTTCGTGAGTCCTTTCGCTGAAGTTTGTAAACTGCCTGGAATTCATGAAGAAGACAGCTGCTGCACCGCACATGTTGCAGATGTACGTTCTTTCTTATACAGTCCGAAATAACCGTTTAAAACTGTGTTTCTCCATTTACATGAGGGTTTAAGTCTGCTTTAAGTAACTGACTTTCAGTATATTTGCAAATCTTCAACTGTCCCTGAATATCTCAAATTTTCTTCTCATGATACTACACTTATTCGGAACGCTCAGCAGGTTTATTATATTTTTTCACTATGTGATATAGTCTCGTAATGAAAACTAATCCGCCTTTAAATGACTTCAGGATTTCCAGGTTGGACGGTGCCACTCGAAAAACCTAAACGATTGGAAGGCATTTACAACGCTAGGCCGGAATGGGACTGTTGGACAAGTGGTGACCAATGAATTCATCGCTCAACATGCAGAAGCTGAGAAAGAACAAGGAAAAATGAATTCTTCTTTTGCTTCTGATAGTGGCTGTATGATGGAAAGTGGAAGCTCCATAGCCACCACCGAAGACGATAGAAAAAATTTCAGCTTTGAAGATATGACTGTTGTCAGTGGTTGCTGTGAAATGTTTAACCAAAGGAACTGCACAAACGACAATGGTGAGAATTATTCTAATAAAATAAGGTACCGCTAAATTTGTCATCTAAAAAAATTGTTTCCAGCCACGGTGGATGTGAACCTCACAAGAGTCTGAATAAGAATACCAACCCGAAGTAAACAGTGTTCCTCCGTGATCTCTTGCAACCCGCATATATGTATTATACATTGTAATTATAATAACAGTGCACCATGGAATCAA